GAGCACCCTGTGGATACGAGGCGTCCTACGGCGTTGCAGTGCTGGAGGGTCCCCCGGGCTGGTGTGAGGGATGGGGCGGTCTCTCTTTGTTGGGTGCAGGAAGGTGGAAATAAAACGCTTCGCGTGGCAGAAGGTGACTGCGGTAGAGATCCCGCAGCGATCTCCTGGGAGGCAGATCCTCGTGTTACCCTGGACTAACATCGCCTTGCCGGGTGGCAGTTCTCACTTGTTTGCTCATTAAAGTCTACCGCTCTTCATTTTCTGTCTCTTTCCTTGGGAGGGGAGTGTGAGAATGAGGTCGGGTGAAGACATACCAGCATCTGGGTGTAGGTGGGGAAAGGAGATTTTTCTTTGTTGATATTCTGCAAATTAGATGAGAGTTTTCTGATTCAGGATTGAAGTCTCATTCTCAGTTTCTAATGCTGTCTGAGCAGAGCGCTGTTCTGTGTATGCGTTTGGACTCTCCTTCCTGTTTAACTTGTGCCGTATTTTTGTGTTGTAAACAGCTCAGAGAGAAAGACCTGTGTTTGTTGTGTTTGTCTTGTCAAAGGTGGAAGTAAACTTTCAATCCAGACTTGCCCTGCTTTGCTTTTAGCAGTTTGCATTAAAATGGGTTTGATCCAAGGTGTAGGTGGTCTCTATTTCACCCGACTGTGACAGATGTCTCAGCTATCTGGAGAATCACAGAGAGCCAGTCCATCCAGGAGCATTACTTCAGGCAGCTGTGCTGCCCAAGCCTATCCCTTGAGATTAGGTGGTTCTTTAGTGCCTGTTTGCTCCATGGGAATACTTTATTTAGTCTGTATTAATGTTTTTGTTAGGCTCAGGCCACCAAGCTCTGCCTAAGCAGTGTGCAGAACAGTTGTGCAGCCTTTCCATTCTATATATAGAAACAAGCTGTCCTTTTGAGGATTGACAATCCTTACACCTTGGTCTCTCCAGTAATGAACTATGTGGTGGGGGTTTAGAGCTTGGATCCTTTTGGAGCAGCCCTCAGATCTGGGATTTACAGTGGAAAGACTCCGTTTCCTCTTGCCAGACATCTAGGCTGTTTATTCCAGCTCAGATCTGCTTTGTAAAGCTCAGCTGACTGCAGGAAGATGTATCTGCTAAATTAACAGCCTGTTTGGGAGGGTAAGGCTTATGCCTATTTGGAAACTACTTTTTTTCACTGTGTCCCCTGATGATATAATAGTGATGATCGTTGCTAGACCCTTCTGAGCTTTGTTTGAAAGAAGATGCAAACAAACCCAAGAAATTATAGGAGAATAATGAGAATTAAGGGCATGCAGGTGCCTAGGCCCATTGTGTATGGCCTGGTGGTTCCAAATCAACTACTAATCTTGGTTCTTCTAAGCAGTTGGTTGTCCCAGATCTTACTACACTCCTACTCATCCCCTGTTCTGATACCAGTGTGGTGAGGTGATATTCGTGCAGTTCACAGGCAAGAAGCAGCAGGTAGGAGCTTAACAGGGAAGGATTTATCCACTTCATGAACTGAGTAGTTGGTATGGGGGGGTGGGGTGGCAAAAGCAAACAACAATAAATCTGTGTGGCTCTGTGAAGTTCTTAGTCCCATTCTGAAAGGCTGAGTGATGGCAGCCTGTTTGCCACAGCAGAAATATCTTTCTTAGTTCTCTTCATTCTGCTGTGGGTTTTTTTTTCCCACATGAAATGGTGTTTTTCTTATAGCGCTTGTGCTGTGGTGTATTTTGGGAATCTGAAGGGAATGTTTGCTGGGCTGCTGGAAGGGAATGCTGAACCTCTGCTATTCTCTTCTTTCAGAAACATGCAACATGGCAGCAGCCATGGAAACTGAACAGCCGGGCCTTGAAATCTTTGAAACTGTGGGCCGTGAGGAGCAGGTCCAGAGAGAGGAGCAGCCAAAACTGGAACCTTTCTATGTAGAGAGACATTCCTGGAGCCAGCTTCGGAAACTTCTCACAGATACGCGGAAGTATCATGGGTACATGATGGCAAAAGCCCCTCATGACTTCACGTTTGTGAAGAAAAATGATCCTGAAGGACCTCATTCCGATAGGATCTACTATCTGGGTAAGGTTGCTGCGACAGCCTGTGTCTTGACTAAACAGTCACTGTGGAGGCTGTTCGGGTTTGACTGTTCTTGAGAGCTGGATATTTCTGGCAGTTAAACCAGACTGGATTTCAGGCCAGATTGGCTGGTGTAATGTTTCATTAAGACTTGCATTTTAATGGTGTGGTTGGAGGTGACCCATTAGGCCTGTTGGAGCTGGAAAAGAACTGTGAAGTGTCTTTTGGGACGTGTTTCCTAGCTGGGAGGAAGGGTTAAGTTGGTTCAGTCTGTTTTGTCTCACTCCAAGTATGATATCCCTTCTCTGAAAGGTGTGTCAATTTGATCTCCTTTCTCTTAATTACAACTAGTGGGTAGAACCTTTTTCTCTTTCAAAGTTTCCTTCTAAAATAGATTATAGATGTAATTTTGAGAGTCCTTTGTGCCTCGGCTGCTGATGGAGTAGGTTTTCCAGGGATTCTGGAGGGAATAAATAGCACTGTAGGGCGGGGGCAGCTTAAAGATTGTTTTTCTCAACATTTTTGGTCTTGATAATGAAGAATGTAATGTAATTTATTGTTCTTGGCCTCAGTGCCTCACTTCTGCATTGTTTCACTAATTAGTGTTCGCTTGATATATCTGCATTTCTAAGTTGCAGCTGTGCTTGAAGTGATTTGGCACTGTAAGTAATACTGTAAGCAACCTTCTGGGTGGCTTTTTGGAGCGAACCTTGTGGTAGAGGAATGCTTTTGTCAAAAGCTACACTAGCTGAACATAAGTCCTTGAAAATCTGGGTTAGGAGGTGAAACAATGGCCAGAGCAAAGGCCTAGGAGCCAGAACCGTGTTCAAGCCACGTTACTTGCTGTTCAGGGTAGTTGGTTAAGCTCTGATTTGTGATTCACAGAGTTTTTGCCTGTGCTGTGCAGTGACATAGTCAGAAAGCTGCTGATCCGTCTCTTTTTTTCCCCTTTTCAGAGGATGGGGGTCATAATCCTTGAATGATACTGAGTTCAAGCACATTGAGGGTGGATTAAGGCTGACCCCAGCCAAGATGAGCTCTGCTTTCCTATGTGCCACTTCCTGAACTATAAGTCAGATGTGGCCGTCCCCGGGGGACATCTGGCTCCCTCTGGGCTGATCCCCGTGTGCCTTGGCAGGAGCTTTCAGAAATCTGAATAGCACTGCAGGAGAGGAGCAGGAAAGGGACGTCCAAACCTTCCTAAAGACATGTTATCTTTGAAACACAAGCTGCATCATGAGGTATTCCAGCCAGGGAAATTAGCAGAAAGGCCCTCCTTAATTTTAAAAGCTTATAAAATAAAAAGGCCCTCAGCCTTCACAAAGACACAGATATGCTTCAGGCAGCATGGAGTAAGCCTGGGTGTATTTCCTTGTTCTCTGCCTTCTCCGTGACTTGCATTTCTGTGAAGCAGGGAATTAGCAGGGAATTCCCAGAGCAGGGCTGCAGTACAGACACTGTCAGTACCTTCTCTGGTAGGAAGGGATTGTGAAAATGTTTCTTAGTATCCTTTGAGAGTGTTTGGATTATTAACAGAAAGCTAATACTCTTTTTTTTTTTTTTTTTCCTTCTCGCTTTCACAATAGCAATGTCTGGAGAGAACAGGGAGAACACGCTCTTCTACTCTGAAATTCCCAAAACCATAAACAAAGCTGCTGTCCTGTTGCTTTCCTGGAAGCCCCTCTTGGATCTTTTTCCGGTGGGTCATGATTTTTTTTCTTGCTTCCTGACAGCGTAGCGAGTACACAGGCTTTGGGGTTACACCTATAAGCCATCATTAAAATTTGGAGTTTATTGTCTTAAACGTTTTAAGATTCTTCTTGTACTTGGCTAACTCTGTAGCCATCTCAAAAACAAGCACAGCTTTCTCATCAGTGTTTGGAGTTACAGCCTTTGTGCGTCATAAAAACTGTGTGTGCTGGATGATTCCTCCTTTGCCGGCAGAGATTGCAAGTGCTAATTTGCATCAGATTCTCTGCTGTGAGATCCTGGGGCTTGCTGAAGGAGCCTGTAGTCTCCAATAATCACTGTCTTGCAGGGGGAAGCGATGAGTCCCCCTGAAGATCAGTCAGTGGCTCTGTGACTCACGCTGAGCAGAGCATCCCTCTCCCACTCACAGGGACGTGTGTCCCCTTTTCACCTCTGCGCACCAGTCCCACCCCATGTACCACGGCAGGTTGGAGGAGGTGGGACAAACCCCATGTGGAATTAGGTGTGTTGTTTCCCATATTATTTCCTGAGGCTGTCAGCCAGACATAAAATTCATGCTGCACTCTCCTCCCACCAGACCAGTCACTGTGTATCTTTGCGAAAGTTAGCAAAGACTCTCCTGCTTGTTCCAGAAATGAGAGACCTTCAGTTTGATCTTTCTTATACAAGCATATATTAGAAACAATGCTGGCCCTGCTACGGGAGAAGAGGCTCTCAGGTTTACAGTTGTGTAGGATCCGATCGTGGCCTGCACCTACAAGTGCTGATGGCAGAGGCGCAAGCAGGAGTGGGCTTCTGGCCGCCAGCAGGATTCTGGAGGAGGAGGGTGTCTGCACAGCCATCTGCTCCTGGAAGCTTGGCATGCAGAGATGCTCTGATGGTATAGTAAGACATGCAGAGCAGAGGTGTTGATTGTGCTCCTCTGCCCGTATTCAGGCCATCCTGGACTATGGGATGTACTCTCGTGAAGAGGAGTTGCTACGGGAGAGGAAGCGAATTGGTACCATTGGGATTGCCTCTTACGATTACCACCGGGAAAGCGGCACCTTTCTGTTTCAGGCTGGGAGTGGAATTTACCACGTAAAAGATGGAGGCCCTCATGGATTCACTGTGAGTTTACTCATCTCTCCAGTTTTCTGCGGTACTACTTTCCTCTGGCTAGAAGCTCCTTTGGCTTGGAGTGAGAGCAGAGTGTGCTCATCAGTTGTGCTGCACTAGCATGGCAAGTAGCCTTGACAACCCTTGAAATGCAGAGAAGTCCTCCGTAGGGATGCATTTCCATGGCTGTAGAAACTCAGATGGAGAAGAAAGGGTGGAAACCGTGGCAGCAGGGCAGGACACCAGATTCTGTTGATTTTTCATAAGTAGCAATGCTAATAAAAAGCAATGCAAAGGCTGTGATGCTCTGTGGTCTTTCATGTAGTCAGAAGTCATATCAGAGGCAGCTTTTGTTCCCAAGCTGTGGTCTAGAGTCACTTTTCAGCAGTCAGTTTTATAAGTGTTACAAGATTTGGCTGTATAACTTACAGAACAAGCAGCCTTTACTTTGCTGGTGCTGCAGCTGGACTTCAAAGCTGAAATAATTTATTATTATTCTAACAAATGCCTGATGTCTGTCTAACCCTGTTAGGGGGAATTCACTGTACCCTGAATTGGTTTTGGAGGACAAGATTGTATGTTCTGCCAGCCTTGTTTTAGGTTGCTGTTTTTAACAGTGTGCCAGGCTTCTCTAGGCAAGCTGCCTTCTCATTTGTGGCTAATCCTCAGCACTGGTGAAAGAGGCCCTGGTGGGATCAGTGCAAGCATGGTGCAAGCACAACTTTCGCTATAAAATATCTGCATAGTATTTTTCTGTGTTTAAAATTAATAGATTCCTCTGTTGTAAACCTGTGTATTTGAAGTCAGTGTCCACACTACTGTGGTCTTACAGACCTTCTGATAATCCGGTTTAGTTTCCCTAAGTGCCCATGTGTTATCATTGTTAACTGTGCTTTTTAAAATTTTTTTTCCCAAACAGCAACAGCCTTTAAGACCCATTCTGGTAGAGACCAGCTGTCCAAATATCCGTATGGATCCCAAGCTTTGTCCAGCTGATCCAAATTGGATTGCATTTATCCATAGCAATGACATCTGGATATCTAATATAGAAACCAGAGAAGAAAGGAGGCTAACATTTGTGCACAATGGTAATGCATCCTGAATTAAGATTTCTGCACCTCCTCTGCACTTGTTCTTGCTAGACTGAATTAAGCAATGGCACTAGGGGTTCTTCTGAAATCTGAGGGAATGGACACTGTTTATTCCACCTTGTCACGTTCTACATGTTTCCTCTAGTGCAAATATTGTGGGACGGTTCTTTTCCCTGCACTGTGGAATCTGGCAAAGCGAGTTATTTGTTGAGCACATATGGAAGGGCTCTTCTCCTGAAACATAGCACATTCCTTTTTACTGGAACAGCCTTTTTTTGTGTGGAGGAGTTGTGGGTGGAATAGAGCTGGAGGGAAGTTTCTGTCAGTGAAATCAGCCTGCAGGGCCATTTAGAAACAATATAGACAGTTTCTGAATAGCACTGTGGCTTCTGCTGGCCCCTCATACTCAGTAACTTAGGTCCTCACTTCGTACGCTCCCCAACTCTGCTTTAGACTCGTATCCTGGAGGAAGGAAAATGGGAAATTGTGGATAAAACACTTTTTAAAAATCCATTGCGTTTTGTATTTCACTCATACTTTGTGTATTTAAACTATATAATTTAATTTTTAGTTAAATTACATTTTCTGCCACTTTATAATAATGCTTTAGCTTATTTAAATGTTAAATATTACAATATTATGTAAGTACATTAAAAATAAACTGTAGCAATGACTCCTTCTCAGATGATAATTATTTATGGAGCGCTGCTAAGTTACCTCCAGGGTAACAGGAAAAATATTGAAGCCCTATGGATATGTCATCATGTTGAGATGTTATGTAAGTCTGTTACTTTTGGTTTGTACAGTGAATGAGATACTGATGCTTTCATTTTTCTGTGCATTGATATTTTCAGTTTTAGTTGTTTAGAAAGTTTGGTGGTTTGTTGGTTTTTTTTTTTCCTTTGACTTTCTTAAAAGTTGTGGTTCCAGTTCACTGAGCTCAGGTGGAGAGAACATGTTCTTTCTTGGTGTAGTACATAGAACACTGAGAGACTAATTGGGTAGGAGTAAGAAGGGATGATGGCTTTCCTTTTCTAAAAGAAGCTGCCATGTCAGAGAGGATTAGATCCTCCCTAAATAAATCAACAGAGCAGGGTGGAAGCAGAAAACAAATCTGCTGAGAAGTCAGATTTATTATTGTGTATTTGTTCCCGGGAGTGAACTTGGGCCGCGTTTGGGATAATGCAGAACTGGTTTCATTCTGCAGAACATCATGAACTACTTCTTTTGTTTCTTTTTTTAGAACTGGCCAATGTTGAGGAGGATCCCAAGTCTGCTGGTGTGGCTACTTTTGTGCTGCAGGAGGAGTTCGACAGATACACTGGCTACTGGTGGAGCCCAAAGGCACAGCCAAGTGAGTGTGGTGGATCCGGTGTCTCTTGACAGGCACGAGTAGTGGCCCCTCTGCTGTGCTGTCCAGTGCAGAGTTATTTTTTCTGTTACTTGTTGTTATGCGAGATAGGAACCTTATGCTCCTAGCTCCTTTGAACTATCTGCAGTGGTAGGCAAGTTACAGTGGCCTTGTGAGCACATGTTACTGGGGGAAGAGACTTTCCTTCTCACAGCAGCAGTAGGAGTTGTTAGAGTCTCAGAGTGTTTTGCTTAATGAAACATGAATCAGAGGCTTTGTTGGATTTTTCTTCATCCTTCCAACCTGCTTGTGCTCCTGGGAGAATATTGATGCCTGCAATAACTGATAATGAGAACTGTTCTGATCAGGAAATGTTAATTCATTTACAGCACTGAATGGGGGTAAAGTTCTTCGAATTCTTTATGAAGAAAATGATGAGTCAGAGGTGGAAATTATTCATGTCACATCGCCCATGCTGGAGACAAGAAGAACAGATTCCTTCCGGTACCCCAAAACTGGTGAGACCCTGATTCCTTACATCTCTGTGTCCAGAAGACACGTGTTTTATTCCATGTGTTTGACAGCAGCGACTCTCCTGGCCTAGAGAGACTCTCTCCTAGAGAGACTTTCCAACAGCTCTCCTGGTTGTTGGAAAGGTGTTGAGTAGTCTTTGATATGGTGTTCAGGTGGTGGAAATGTGTTTGGGGAAACTGCTGCTGTGGACGTTAGGTTAGTCACCGGTGACTCTGCTGATACTCCAGCCATGTGGTTACTAAGAGCCCTGAGTCTGGATCTCTCAGGAGTTGATGGAAACCGTATCTGACTGGCACTATTTTGGAGCTGCTGTCTCAGATACTGGCAGATCTGCGTTGTTGAGGAGTTGATTCTCATTACAGCCCTGTGTCTCTGAGGGAATAGCTGCAGAATTACAGCCTTTTGATTTTTTTGAGGGAGGTTCTGTTTAGGTGCTGGCGGTACCCTGGTAGTTCAAGTTCTGAAGGACTCTGGTCTCCGTGATTGCTCTTGGACTTTGAACAACAAACTCAGCATACTTACAGCCAGGAAAACCCCCTATTGTCCCATTTTCAGACAGTAAATGATCTGGATGCTTCAGCAGTAAAGGGGTGGGGTCAGGCTTGAAGCGTTTTGAGTGGAATGCCATTGGAAGCGGGACTTATGCAGACCTGCTGAGTGCTGATACAGTCAGGTGTATGGGGCAAGTTTGAACAGTCCAACCCTTGTTTTTCTGAGATTTCCCTCCTGTTTCAGTGGGGCATGTTGCTCACCGTTAACTAAGTGGTTCAATCTCTTTCCTCACTCCTGAAATCTTCATGTTTTGGAGAAATATCTTCTGTTTTGCTGACCTCCCTAAGTTGCAGAATTAATTTCAGATCTTGCAGATTCCCTGATCCACTGGGAAAAGTTTTCTGCTTATGATCCTGATTTACTACTTGTTTCAAGGAAGAAGAAAGGCTCAGCATTAGCCTGGGAAGCAAAATATGACTCCTTGTGTTTTTTCAGTGCTTGTGTACACCCAGATTTCTGAGGGTATTTTGTCATAGCTCTGTTCAGTGCTAAGTTTCAGCGGTTTAGGAAAACAAGCTAACCAAAGCCCAAATCCCTTTAAAAAATAATCTAGGTTTTAATCTCTGGGCCTTAGTTTCCAGTCTGAGCTGCAGGGGCAATAGCCCTTTTCTGTGGCTTGTGATGAGGGCAAAGCTTGAGGTAGTGGAGAAAATTCTTCCCAGGGAGAAGGTAAGTACTTAAATAGGCCAAGGGAAGTCATTTCACCTCATTTTTGTGTATAACCCGTGTTGATGAAGTGGGGTTACTTCACAGCAGCATTGAGAATATTCAGAGTACATGGAATTTGCCACCTGCGGCTTCTTGTGGATCAACTGCCAGCGGCTGTATTCTTTATAGTCCACCTTTGCTGTGGAGCAGGCCCCGACATTTAGCTCTGCACATGCTGTACAGCAGGATGAGTCGCTGCTTTGTGTAAAGAGTGAACTGTAGATTTTCAGTGTTCAACACAAGTATGTAGCTTTGTTGTCTCAAATGCACTAGTCATGGCAATAGGTTTTTAAGAGTGAGTTGCTCTTAATTTTCAAAGATGCTTTTTAGCACTGGATCACTTTTTATGCATGACCTCAAGAATAACAGGCAAACAGTAAACCAAAGCTTGCTTGCCACCCTGATCACTCCTGAGCATTTACTTCCAACTAGTACCTTTGTCCTTTGACTGTGGGAGAGAAGATGGCCTGTGACAGTAGCATGGCTCTTGATCAGATCTGTTTGCAGGATTATATCCACTGAGTCTGCCTCATGTTTGCAGTCTGTTTTCCCTGCCTGGTTCTGTGCTGTCTCTCACACATGCAAGTAGGCTATTTGATCAAAGAGCGTTCTCCTGTTTGCCTTTTCAGTTCTGTGTGAATAACATCACAATAATCCACAGTTCAAGTCTGCCCTCTTGGAAGTAAACAACTGGTGCCTGACTGCTTACATCTGTTTTTATAGGTACAGCAAATCCAAAGGTCACTTTCAAGATATCTGAAGTGACAATCAATGCGGAAGGCAGAGTAAGTTCTATGTTCGGCTTGTTTTCCAAATAAATATAATTCCTGTAATTCTTTTTCGGTAAAATTCATTTTCCAGTTCAGTACAAATAAACTTTCTTGGTTGTGATAGCTTAACGGCTTCTCTGGAGGCAGTGCAGTTGCCTTGTTCCTGTGCAGGTACTTGGTGTCTGTGTGTGCAGCAGTATTTCTTAAGGCTGTGCTTTTCTTCCCTACCACTGGTTTATGAATGCAGCTGCAAAGCGGAATATTTTAGGTGTGGATGGTTAGACCTTCTTATGTGACAGATCTCTTGATTGGCTGCAGATATTGGGAAAATTTGGTTGCAAAGACAATATATCACCTTACAAAAGCATGAACTTATGGAAAGAGATGAACTTTGCTTTCACCCTGGAACTTTTTAACAGACGCAGAAATTTCCATAGCCCAGTCCAACATCTTCGGACAGTTGAGAAATTAATCTTACAAAGCAGATACAGTAACAGCCATACATTATGGGGATCCTCTGTACTCTTGAGTTACTTCAGCCATCAATAGTCACCTGCTGGGATAGCGATGCTGATGTCAGCCAGCAAAGGCAGGGAAAGCTGTCACGACCCTTTGGGTGCCACTGTGGCTTGTCCCCATTCCCAGCAGGGACAGACTGCAGAACTGCGTACCGTGAATTAGAACCACGTTGATATCTAGATGTCTTGCAGGATGTTCAACGTCTACTGATGAAAACAACTTACAAAATAGCTCGGTACAAATCACTTCCCCTTTACATGGGGAAACTGAGTGTTCAAGTGACTCGTCCGAGACGAGCGATGGATTTGTGAGCAGCATCCAGGTTTCTCAAGTCGCAGCCCTGGCTGTGCTGGTAGTGTGCAACTCTCATACTGTTCTGGTGTCTGGCTACAGACAGGGTTGAATCCTCTGTGTTGCAAAGACTGAACAATCTAAGTTGCTTGAGCTGCACAGAAGAAGTCTTCTGTGTCCAGAGTCTCTCTCATCGTGCATGAAAACTGATTGTGGGGGTTCATCTCAGTGTCACTGAATTGCTGCTTTGTCAACAGATTGCAGATGTTGTGGATAAAGAGCTAGTTCAGCCGTTCGAGATCCTCTTTGAAGGAGTAGAGTACATTGCTAGAGCTGGGTGGACGCCAGAAGGAAAATAGTGCGTATGTTAATCCTGTCTCTGCTTAGAGGGTTTGGGGCAATACAGTTAGAAGCAGAATGTAGTAGTCTCTGTCATCTTCAAGCTTAAGCCTGCTTTCATTTTTACATTTCTACAAACTTGTTTGTGCAAAGGGGACAATTTTTCCAAAACCAAAATGGAGTTCTCCTTGTCTCTTTCTCTGGTACCTGGCCCTATTGCTTTGGTATCGGGCACTCACAGCCTTTGATGTATGTGTCCTCTCAGCATCCCTGTGAGAGAGAGTGCAGTACTATTGTCCCCATTTTACAGATGGGGAACTGAAGCCCAGAGAGGCTAAGTGACTTGCCATGGTCACACAGGAAGTCTGTGGCTGAGGAGAGAAATGAGCCCAGGTCCCCCCAGGCCCTAGGCTAGCACCCTAACCACTGGACCATCCTTGCTGACCAGACTTACTGATCAGAAAACCTGCTGTAAGTGCTACTTACATTTGCATGTCATTTTTAACCCTGTAGATGATGTAGTACAGTGTTTCTAACTCACCAGAAGCTTCTCCAGAATTGCACTTCTCCAATTCTTGAATCTAAAGATGACTTTCACTTTTTTAATCCCTCCCTCCCACCCCACCGCCCCAAATGTAGAAGTGCAGGGACACGTTTGCTCGATTATCTTGCTTTTTGCGGGATTATTGTTAGAGCTACGTGTAAAGACATCAGAAGTATGGCAGGGTCTGCTGCCAGTCCTTATAGATGCCAGTATTGTTCTTTGCCAGGTACAGATTTAACACATTAGTATTTTCACAAGTATCCTGAAATTTCAGTTGAAATTTTTCTGCTTCATTATTCCCTCTTATTTTTCTCTTCTCTTTCTCCCCTAAAGCACAATTCAAATCTGGGAGAATGGAATTAATTAAACTTTTGAACCGGCAGTGCTTATGCAATATTGAAATGAAGTGAAATAAGTTCTTGTGTTGTGGAAGAGATTTGTTTATGTGGGTGAAATTTTACATGTGGCTTTGTGCTTAATCTGAAATTGAACATTCTTGACTCCCTCAAAATGCCTAATGCTAATGAGTGTCTGTTGAGATTTTTAGACCTGTCTAATACTCATGGTTGCATGTTATTTTCTCTAATATCTGTCTTCTCAACAGTATCTGGTCCATCTTGCTGGATCGCTCCCAAACTCGACTTCAGATAGTCTTGATCCCTCCTGCATTATTCATCCCCACAGAAGATGATGCAATGGAAAGACAGAAACTTATCGATGCTGTACCAGATTCTGTTACACCTTTCATTATTTATGAAGAAACAACAGACATCTGGATAAATGTAAGAATTTGAATGTCAGCCTTCTCTGATCTAGGTGATTCTGGGTGAACAAGACCCGAGAGTCTGCTAACGGTCACTAAAACCCCTCCTTAACTACATATGGTCTGGTGAAATAGGTTTGCGTGTAATGTTCTTGGAGGTGTGCCCCTAGGGCCTGTGCTGTGAGACTCGGACACCAGTGTGCTAGGCTAACGCTGTAAAAATGAGTGCTGTTCACACTTCTGCAGATACAGATCGATGTCTCTCAAATTACATCCCGCTGGAGGTGTGCCAGGCTGCAGGAAGGCCTGGGAACATCAATCACTGACAGGTAGTTGGATCTTTCAGCAGAGAGCATTTGCACAGAGCCTTCCAGTGAACGATCTTTATACAGCAAGTGCTCTCTCCGACACCATGTTTTCTCCTTAGTAATAGTGTGCATGGTTTCAGGATGGTGCAGTGAGTTGTCTTTTCTCCATTATTTTTACTGGCTGGAGTGGTTTTAGACTGGCAGCTTATACTGTACAGATAAATGCTCCCGAGTCCTTCAAAAGTTTGTCCCTTGAAGCAAGAGTTGGCATCTTCATGACTGGAAAGGTGATGTCAGCTGATCTTTCTTTAACCCTTGGCTTGTGGGCTTCTAGACAGCACTGAACAGAGGCGGCCACTGAACTCTGGCTTCACTGGATGGCTGTCATATGCTGTCTGCAGAGCTGGACCCACCTCTGTATCTAAGCTAGAAAGGCAGGTGCAGAAAAACTTAATTAGTTTGGTGGCCAGAAGTTAGACTGGCAAAAAGCCTGGAGCTGTGCAGCATGTGTGGCCGCTGTCTGCAGACACCCCCTGGCTCATAAGCATAACTGGTTCTCCCAGTAAGGGACTGTGTGATTTCAGTGCCAAAGTCCTGCTTGTAACAATAATCCACTGCTCTGTCTCCACAGATCCATGATATCTTCTATGTTTTCCCTCAAACCCATGAAGATGAGATAGAGTTCATTTTTGCCTCCGAGTGTAAAACAGGATTCCGGCACCTATACAAAGTCATCTCAGTTTTGAAGGAGAGCAAGTATAAAAGGTCGTGTGGAGGCCTCCCTGGTCCAAGTGAGTGAAATTACTCTTTTGCTTTAATTGGGCATTTGCTGTGACTAGTGAGGAAATAAATGTCCAGCCAAGTGGCAGGAATTATTGTCTTATTGGAAGCTCCTGCTGTTGTCCAGGAGAGCACTTCACTGTACAGTCATTCCTCTTGAAAGTGTACCAGGGTTATTCTGTATTCAGCATGCCTTAGTTTTAACCTTGATCCTTCCTGATAGAATAGAGGGAAAAGTTTCCAAAAAATCAGATGGGAAACAAGCTCCCTGGGATACTGTGAAATGCACTTAGCTGGCTTTTCCTTCTCAATGTTGGGACTGTTTGTGCACTGACTTTGCCAGAGGTTAATCATTATAATAATTTCAGGGCTACTGACACGCAGAGTCCAATGTAGATATACGTTGGTTCAGGGCTTGATTTTGCAAGTAAAACCAACACGGTCAGCCTTTACGAGTGGATTGGTAGCAGAGAGACTGACAAAGAGCGCAGTTTGAACACCTGGTGAAAAGGTCCGTAGAAGGCCTCCCCATCCGAGTGGGCCCACACGATAGTCCCTTTAAAATGAACGTGTGTGCTTGGCAGCAAAACCTGTGATATGACAACTATTCGGAGGTGCCTCTCTGCTCTTAAAAACAATCATGGTATTGCTGTATAGGCAGAGATGTTAGCAGGAGAAAATGACTGGCAGCTGTTGTAAATGGCAATGCAGGAAGAGTCATTTCAAGCAAAAAAACTCAAGGACCGTATGCTTCCGAGCTGCAGTCAAAGTTTGGTCTTGCTCAGATGCGTGATATAGCTGTGTGCAAAGCTCCCGGAGTGGTTTTTCCACAGCATGTGTTCTTCAATTTACAGTTTCATGCTGGGATACTTAATTTACTTGGTGTGTGTCAAAGGCGCTTATGGAGCTCTGCATGCACAAAAAATACACTTAATTTTACTAGAGATCCTAGTTTCATGCAACTTGTTCTTTTGTTTAATTTTTTTCCGAAAGCATTATATCCTGGGTTGATGAAATTTCTCTGAATGCATCCAAATTCTTTATCTCACTAAATGTCCCTAATTCTAAGCAGAGTTGTTGCACGCCCTGTTGCAAAATTCTCCATTTTTGACACCTGAGATTCCCTTTGCACACCCATTAGTATAAAACTTCTATTTCTGTGCAAGTGACAAAATACTTTAAAAAAGGCAAGCAAGCTGTCCAGTGTATCCTGCATCCTGTGTATCTTTTAACATATATTTCACAGAATGTTAAGTAGTACAAGCCCTAATAGTTGTCTGGGGAGCTGGCAGAGGCGTGGGTCTTGTGCAAAGGCGGGTTACTCTTGGGTTTAGTCTAGTGAAAAAGCTTGGAAGGAAGTAGTAGTATTGTGACCATGTGTTTTGTAAAATGTAAAAGCGTAAAATCTCTGTATGCTCGTTATTTGCAGGTGACTTCAAGTGCCCTATCAAAGAGGAGATAGCGATTACCAGTGGAGAATGGGAAGTGCTTGGCAGACACGGATCCAACGTAAGTCTCTGCTCTTGCTGCGTGGTTATCCTGCAAACAACACACACGGCAGGAGATGGTCTCTGAGGCCTCACAAATTGGTACATGTCGTGCTAGTGAGGGTCTGCTCCCTGAGAAGAGTGGACCTTGCCACCCCCTGGTGTTGAGTTTGAGCACGTGTCATGTGGGTTTTGTTGGTCTACAGTGTGTTTTCATCCTTCTCTACCTCTGATGTTCTGCTCTGAACTAGAGGTGGTGATTTTGGCAATGGGGAAAAAGAACACAGGCAACATTACTTGGCTTTCTTTTCCTGTGTGGTCCTGCGTGGATCCTTGACAACAAGGAGTTTTCTCCACTAAGTTGAAGGCTTAAAGAGGAGGAGAAGGGAGCAAAAATATTGCAAGGCAGCAGTGAGGGTGAGGAAGTTCCACATGTAGAACTGGGTATTGTTTTGGCAAGAAACAGTATTGAGGGATGTGTTGTTTTGTTTTTAACAGATCTATGTTGATGAAACCAATAAGCTGGTGTACTTTCAAGGCACAAAAGACTCACCTTTAGAGCATCACTTGTATGTTGTTAACTACGAGAATCCTGGAGAAGTAAAGCGGCTGACAGAACGTGGTTACTCTCACGCCTGCTGTGTCAGCCAGGTACCTGTCTGCCTGTGAGACCCTGTATAGGTGTGCTGTGGCTTCTCGCCAGTCTTGTCCTTCATCAATCAGCAGACAAGGCTGTATTTTAATAGAACAAAAGTAGATTTTAAACTGCGTTGTGTACTCCTGTATGTTGTACAGTGAGTGCGTAAATGCACCCTGGAAACCAGATTTGACCTCCCAATTCGGTTGCTCTTCAACTCACCTCTGGCAAAAGGAGCCAGGATGAATTGTTTGAAACTGTTTGAGCCTGGCTCTTTTCGCCGGAATTGGGCTGTAGAGCAATCAGCGGAGGAGATGAGCCTGTGGCAGCATGTATTCTTTTTCTCTCTAGGATTGTGACATGTTCATCAGCAAGTACAGTAATCAGAAGAACCCGCACTGTGTGTCACTTTACCGGCTGACAGGACCTGAAGATGATGCAGCTCATAGAACAAAGGAATTCTGGGCTACCATTTTAGATTCAGCAGGTAATGACATGGATAAGGAACTGGAGAAAGACAACCAGGGTCACAGAATGAAAGATATCCCAGAATGTGCATGCTTAGGATTCACTGTTGTGGGTGACTAGACTTGTCTCTGAAACTCTTGCTTGTGTGAGGAGTTCTTAGAAGTACCTGAGTGATGTTTTCAGCTCAGCAGCAAATGGGTATAAACTGACCATGAAGGAATTTAGAGTGGAAATTACTAAGTTTCTGCTGGCTCTGCAGAACTGTAGAAAGCCAGTTTTAGCATTGGGGGAGGTGTTTCAGTGTGGTCGTTTAGACTGTGCTGTATGCCTGCTAATGAGCATATATAATGCTTCTGGGCCTCTGGGGAGGGGCATACATTCCTTAAATAGTTGTGCGCTGCTTCCTACTCATGTCTTTGAGAGACAGCTCTTGGGCTTTTATTTTTCCATTTTTTTTTCTGTCCCTTTCATCTCTCCTTCCCCAAGGCATACTCCATATCCTATGCTTTCCATGTATTAATGCAGTGAGTCCACAGTGGGGTTAGGAAGGGATGGGATACCTGTAATGCCTGTGTCAGAGGAGAAGAGGTACTAATGTCCAGAGGAGAGCAGGGCTGGGAATGTGATAGGACTGAGAAAGCTCCCCTGGGGCCGGGGCACTCCCAGCCTCTGCCTGGTCCCAGCCACATCCACTGGAAAGTGTGGGAGAGCTCCACTGGGATTCAGTGAGATTGGTGATGGGGCAGGACTGGAGCAGAACTGCATTATTCATCCATTCCCTTTTAAATCAGACACTCTTTTCCCTCCTGTGGCAGGCCCTCTTCCTGATTACATTCCCCCAGAAGTCTTCTCCTTTGAGAGCTCCGCGGGGTTTACGCTCTATGGGATGATGTACAAACCTCATAATCTGCAACCTGGAAAGAAGTACCCCACTGTGCTCTTCATCTATGGAGGGCCTCAGGTGAGTGTGGCATGTCGGTGAGCAGTGGGGTGGACGGGCCTGGATCACTCTGCTGCTGTCCTGTATGAACAGCTCCTGCTCTGCTGAGGATAGCATGCAGCAGTTTTGCCTGTTTGGTGACTTGCTGCTTGACTGAAGGTGCTGTGAGTGGTCATGATTTCTGGGTCATAGATCCGAGGCACTGCTGCTTGTCTGAGAACAGGTGTGGAATAACAGAGCTGGAACTGGGAGAATCATAGAATCATGTAATGGGTTGGGTTGGAAGGGACCTCAAAATCCATCTAGTTCCAGCCTCCTGCCATGGGCAGGGACACCCTCCACTAGACCACGTTGCCCAAAGCCCTGTCCAACCTGGCCTTGAACACTTCCAGGGATCCAGGGGCATCCACAGCTTCTCTGGGCAACCTGTGCCAGGGCCTCACCACCCTCACAGGGAAGAATTTCTTCCTCATATCTCATCTAAATCTCCCCTCCTTCAGCTTAAACCCATTCCCCCTTGTCCTGTCACTCCATGCCCTTGTAAATAGTCCCACACCATCTTTCCTGTAGGCCCCCTTTAGGTACTAGAAGGTGCTGTAAGGTCTCCCTGGAGCCTTCTCTTCAGGCTGAACAACCTCAACTCTCAGCCTGTCTCCATCGCAGAGGTGCTCCAGCCTCATCATCTTTTGTGGCCTCCTCTGGACTCGCTCCGACAGCTCCATGTCCTTCTTGTCCTGGGGATCCCCGAGCTGAACGCAGTACTGCAGGGGAGTCTCACCAGAGCGCAGTGCAGGGGGAGAATTTCCTCCCTTGACCTGCTGGTCACACTGCTTTGGATGCAGCCCAGGACACGGTTGGCTTTCTGGGCTTCAGGCACACATTGCCGGCTCATGTTGAGCTTTTCATCAATCAACACCCCCAAGTCCTCCTCCTCGGAGCTACTCTCCATCCATTCTCCGCCCAGCCTGTAGTTGTGCTTGGGATTGCCCCGACCCATGTGCAGGACCTTGCACTTGGCCTTGTTGAACTAGAAAGGGCAGTGCAAATAGTCACTGTTCCTTGTTCTATCTCCACCTTCTCCATAGGGGCTCCTGTTCCTTGTTTTCACTTCCCCTGTGTGTATGTGAGGAGAGCTCTCTGTTAGCAGTGACCATTACTGGTGTGTGCTCAGGAGAGCTTGCTCCGCAGTCCTCCTTTTCCCAGTGATGAATAGGAGAAGATGAGCTCCTTAGCCCTGCTTTGGTTCCCCCACCTCTTCTGTGCCCTGCTGTGGTCCAAGGCAGCTGCAGTGAGACTTGGTGAAAGGAAAGATTTTCTCCTGGGAAAGAACAGAGAGTGGAGAGCAGAGCTGTAGGCTCGGGGTTGGGTTATGCTGTCAGCAGCTGTGCCTCTTGCTTTGTGCCCATTGATGTTGCAGCGGAGCTCGGATCAGCTCTTTGGATCTGTGACAGAATGGCTTGTTACTGGGGAAAGAGAGTTTATTTCATAGCAGACCACAAGCAGGGAGAGGGAATCCTGCATCAGGGAGTAGGGATCTTGAAAACTTTACATTATAAGAATGTATAAAACATTTAAAGGAAGGTAAATATAAATAAAATCTAAAATTGAATTGAGGTGACCTCTGGATTCCATTACATATGTGTCGTTGCTGCTCTTCTATTCTAGGTACAGCTAGTGAACAATCGGTTCAAAGGAATCAAGTATTTCCGTTTGAATACTTTGGCCTCTTTAGGCTACGTGGTCGTTGTCATCGACAACAGGGGGTCCTGCCACCGAGGACTGAAGTTTGAAGGAGCCTTTAAATACAAAATGGTGAGTGGAGCTCTGAGCCTAGTTCTTTTTCAGCCAGAAACAAGTTTGAGTCCCACTATTACCTGAGCAGAAGCACTGATTTGGCACAGATGCCCAGCGTTGCTTGTGTGCCATTGCCTAGATTTGGGGAGGGGAACTGCGCATAGTTGAGCAGCGTGTATTTGAGGGAGGAAGGACGCACTGTGGGAAGGATATAATGTCAGCGTTTTGAGGTTCTGAACCAACCCCAGCTTGGCAGGCATGATGCAGGGTGGTTCATAAGGGGGTCTCTGATTCCCACCAGAAATGCTGTGCTGTTCACACGAAGCAGGATAGTTTCATTTGCAGCGTAGGTTACTACTTAGGGCAGTTCCTGTGTCAGGCTGCAGAGGGTGAGTGTGTTTGGCCGTGTGTACAGGAGCTAGAATTCAGCCTTGCTTTTGTAACTGCAAAAAGAAAAAATACTGAAAAATCTTACTTGTCACCAAGCAAGGAGACAAATGAAGAAAAGGGTATTTAAGAGGTGGGTTAGCATGTATTTATTGTCTTGTTGGGGAAAGGGTCATCTTTCTGTGACATGCCTAGCACAGTGGAGCGCTGGTGTGTGGTCGGGTGCTGAACAAATAGCAGCAGCAAAGGTCTGAAGGTGGTTACCTCTGGGAATCCTGAGAACATAACTTTTGTCTGGAACTAACAAAATTTACCTTTTTCTCTCCCCTCCCAGGGACAAATAGAAATTGATGACCAAGTGGAAGGGCTGCAGTATTTAGCATCCCAGTATGACTTCATTGATTTGGAACGCGTTGGCATTCATGGCTGGTCCTACGGAGGCTACCTCTCTCTTATGGCTTTAATGCAGAGGTCAGATATCTTCAGGGTATGTTCATACATTGAGTACTTATTCTGGTGGTGCAGACAGAATTTTTCCCTTAATCGTGTAACCTCCCACGGGTGTTCACAGCACAAAGACATTTGAGCTTGTTCTAGACAAGTGAGGACACAGTGCTCTGGCTGTTTCCTTCAGGACTCTTCCATTTGGGTGAGTTCAGAGGAAAGTTGCTTTTCTAGCACACATTTCTTCCACGGAATTTCTAACTAGGCTTCCACGCTTTGGTGATTTTTTGATACTTCACAGACAACAGATCTGAAAATCTATTCACTCTTTAAAGCTAGTGCTTGCTAACAAACCACAGTACCATTTAAAACCAACATTCAATGGGTATTGCAAGAGCAGTTATAAGTTGTTGTGTGACCTTGGGTTGTCTCCTCAGTTCTCTCCACTTGTGTTTCTCTGTGAAGCATGGGGGTGAGACGCTGTTCCTCTGTAAGCCTCTTGTCACTGTTGGGCTCTGAGAGGTGTCTGGGACTGGTATTTGCATTGAGTCTGTACCGAGACAGCTATGAGACTCAGCTTTTCAGAGGCAGCAATACCAGTACAGCCCCAATAATTAATACTAACAGAGATGCCTCAAATCAGAAAACTGCGTTTGTGCAATTAAGTGCCATGCTTTCCCACCTCGCCACAAAAATTTGCAGCTTTTCCCCCCGGGAGAGTGTGGTGTTCTTATTTAAGCATAACCACCCCAAAGAGTGTGATGTGACTGCACCATCGTTGTGCTTGCTTCCCCCAGCTCCAAACGAGCCAGGCATAGTCTTGACCTGATGTCAGGGTGCGGTGTTGTCCATGAGGCTTCCTGCGTTAATGTGAGCAGGGTGCTTTTGGGCAGAACACACTTACCATCCAGGAAGCCTAGCATGTAAGAGGCGTGTGGGGCTGTTCAGGTAGGCCAGTTTTATTGGAATATCTGAGAGTCCCATGAGCTGGGGTGAGGAAGAACAACTGTTCACCTCATTCAGCTGAGCACAGAAGATATTCCCTCTCTGGAGCTGTGTAAGAGTTTTAAACTGTTGGAGCTTGCAATAACTTAACTGTGCTGGTATAGCTATACCAATCTGAGGTCACCTATGCTGAAGGTACCTTACACAGTCTTGGCTGTTGCCTGCTTTTTGTCAGCCGAGCTCTTTGTGCTGTGAACCAACTAAGGGAAATGATCCTGC